TTTTTTTTTTTTTTGCTTGAATTATTTTGTTTTGGTGTTTCTTGTGACAGAGTTGTGGATTTGTTTTACCAGTTATTATAATAACAAGTTTGTATATATGTTGGGACTATGTGCGTTGTATATGCAGTTCATTTGCTTGTATAATACAAGAACCCACAAAAAAAGAGGTAGAGATTAAAATGAAGTGTAAAACGTGAAATAAAAAAGTGTAAAGAAACCCAAAAACAGAGAGGATGGTTAGTTAATATAAAGAGTAAAAATTCAAATAAAAAAAGAGTGCAGAGGGACGGTTTAACCCTATCCACGGTATAAACGGCATGCACACATTGTTGATGTATTTTTTTAACATATTAACATCACCAATGTGTGCATGACACATCGCAGTGGGCATATTAACATGTGTCCACAGTGGATAGGCACATGTTAATATGCCTACCGAATATGTGGCATGCACACATTGTTGATGTATTTTTTTTAACATATTAACATCACCAATGTGTGCATGCTACATCGCAGTGGGCATATTAACGTGTGTCCACATTGAGTAGGAGAGCGTTATCCAAAGGTTTAAATAAAGGGTAAATCATTGAATTTAAAAAATATAATATATAGGACACGGTCACACGGAGCATTATCCGAGGGTTTAAATAAAGGGTTAAAAATTGAATTTAAAAAATATAATATATAGGAAAACTTCGCGCCAGGTAGGGGTCGAACCTACGACTTTCTGCTTAGGAAACAGACGCTCTATCCACTGAGCTACAGGCGCTGAATGCTACTAAATTGACCTAAATTTTTTCTCTAATAAAAATTATTGGTTATTGGATGTTAATTTGAAAAATAAATGCAATGTGTGGTAAAACAAAATGAAATTTATTATATATATAATTTATTCAAAGGGCATTTTTTTTTTAAATATATTTTTGGTGTGTAATGTTGTATTTTTTAAAATATATTTAAATTTTAATGTATACTTTTTAAGAAAAGGTTATTTTAAGAATAAAAGTATCTGTCTGTGTGAGTCTAATCCATTAACCGAAAATTTGGATTTAGGTAAAATATCACAAATGGTGTGCTATATTGGTCTATCATTAAACTTGTTCCATTATGTTGTCATTTAATCGTAAATTGAGCAAAATATTGACATTGCATGCTTTTTTATTAATATATAATTCAGTAATTAGTAATTAAAAATTATGCAATTCTGTTATATCAGCATTTTGCACTCCTTCATTATTATATGTGTTCATTTTTCATGTTTTAAAGTAATTGATGTATGTAAGAACTTTTAGTGTAATTTAAGATCTCAAAATTATTAAAACACTTGGCTAATTTAAATTATAAATATACTATAATTTTATTTTTTTTTATTTTTTTATTTGTTATCAGGTTTTCATGTGAGGCATATCAAATTAGTACTAGTATATACCCCGTGCGATGCACGGGACAAAAATATTAAATGAGTTATTTTCACAACCTTGTCCGTTTAAGTCTAAAAAGTAATAATGTTATGATCTATTTTCTACCTCTTTTAATCAACGTTAAGTCTAAAAAATTATTAAGCCGCCCTCTGGCAAATATGTATGAAGTTATGTGTTCGTGTCTCATAAGTCACAAACATTATAAATAACATTACAAATTATTCTTTCAAACTTTTATTCATTGCAAATATATTAAAATAGTTTATATAACAGCCATTAAATACCACTTTCAATATATTTATAAATAAAAAGTACATAAAATTTATTGTGTGTTCAAACTTAAATAATTTTTTATGTGCTCAATTTTAAATCATACAGACATTTGGTCAAATGCATAGGTGTGTTCAAATTTAAATCATTGGCATTTTAGTCGGTTGAAATTTAAATCATCTACCATGGTACTGTGATCTGTATTATATATATATACAATTTTTTAACAAATAATATTGCTTTATAAAATAATTTCACAAGATTTTAAACGTAAACTTTGATTTTTAATCACAATAGAAAAATCATGATAAGTTGATTTGAAAAAGTATTATGAGATAAAACAATTAACTAAAATAATTAAATAAAATATTTGATGGAAATAGAATGTATTAATTACCTTTGACTTTTTTTACTACTAATTCTTGTTCTTTTTTTATATAAGTATAGATTTGTAATTTTTTTTTTTATATTTTATAGTTTGACATTTGTATTGAGACAAAAAAAATAATTACATCTACATTTATAGAAAAAAGTTAAGTATCTATATCATAATTCAAAAGTATTATGTATCAACTTTATCAAGTATATATATTGTTTGACTTACAAAAATTATTAGTATAATTTAACAGTCAATTTTACTAATGACGAGTGTCATTTCTAATAAAAATCATAATTAAAGTTTAAAAAAAAAAGTATCCGAAAAATTAAAACAAAAGAATAACATATTGTTACTTTTAAATATATTTTTTTAATCATCACTCAGTAAATTTTACCACGTTAAATATGCTCTAATTTCGATGGCCATATGGACGGCATGCCATCAATTCCATCACGGTACATAATTTTTTTAAGTCAAAATCATTAATTGAGCATTAAAAGTCACTAAATTTTTGAAATTTGTAGAAATGAAATTTGTATTAAATGCAATCTATATATATATAATTACTAGCTAATAGTATTTAATAAAACTTATTTAATTTTACCTATGTGGCAATTTAATTTTTTTCCCTCTAAAAACCGTTACTTTTGATGTATTTACTTTCATTTAATTATTAAATAATCAACACTAATCACTTCAAAATTACAAAAATCATTTTAAACTTTTGATTACTGACAGTTGACCATATAATGTGTTGACCGTATAATGTGATTAGATGTTATTATTGTGGTTACATTTAAATTATTTTTTAAAAAATAAACAACGTATTTGAAATTCCTAAATGAATAATAAATAATTCACAAAAAAATACGTACCAAAATATACATTACATCCAATCAGATAAACGCAATTTAAAAAAGAAATAAATATTCCAACTCCTTTACTTGTAAATTGGCCAGCAAAAAGGTGAAAGAAAAATAATTAATCATTGTTTGCATACAAATATCTCACAATACTTTATTTACATCTGTGCAAATGCACAGGTCGAATACTAGTCCTCATAAATCATGGCCATTGATATTCAAAACTAATACTACTATAATGTTTTAATTGTTATGACTACCTAAGTAGATATGTTTACTCACTCATTCATTTTACACATGACATTTCTTTATGAAGGAGTCCATTATTTAGCTCCAACTTAAATTTGAAAAATCAAACATTTTGTGTGTGTGTGTGTGTGTGTTTTTTTTTTTTTTTT